TAATATCGATATATTTTTGTCAAATTTTTATGATATCTTCAAACATATATTTTATTCAAAAATAAAAACATTATCACTTTCTCAAAATCACATAAAGCCATATTATAATATYRACTGAGATAAAGAAGAAAATGAAATATTAAAATCATGATGCATCTCGCTGCATTGCGCGAGTACGCTTCTAGTATATATATATATATATATAGAGAGAGAGAGAGAGAGAGAGAGTAAAATTATTTAAATCTAGAGCAATTCCAAAAATGATGGTTTGGAAAGATAAAAATATTTGTTTTTTTTAATTCTTCGCAACAATAAAATCTTCAAAATTAAATACTTAAATAATAATAAAAAATATTTTTATTAAATATCATAGAATATTTTAATAATTTAACTAATATCTCATCCTACCCCTTAATTAAATATTTAAGAGGAAGCCTAAAAAAATGGAAATTAGAGTAAAATATTTTCATATTTTTCATCTCGTTTTTCGTGCTTCTTTGATTCTTCTTTTTTTTATGGGTTCTGTCACTCATCTACATACATATGTATACATACACATATGTACACATATATATATATATATATATATATATATGGTTGGGTTCACGTGAGACCAAAGACTTTTCGTGAGACCCGTAAAACCAATTTGTGTTCATTGATCAACTTTTTAAGTTAATGATCTAATGATCTAAATTGTACGGTGGCAATTTTGTGATTATTGAGAAGTCTCGTAGCGTTTATGAACATTCAGATTATCAAATTGTAAATCTAATCAAAGAGTTGCGAATTAGTCTTACGAATCTCATGAAAAACCCTTTGTCTCACATGATCCCATGTATATATATATATATATATATATATATATGCAAATGATCGTATGAGAAGACAAGTTATGTTGAAAAACGTAAGAAGATATTTGAACCATTGATCACATTTAATCTCAAATTCACTCATGGATCACGCTTAATATGAGATTGATCTGGTGCATCTCATCTTACGCACTGAGATGCACCATATTGATCCTCGTATTAAGCATGATTCATGAGTGAGTAAAGGTGATCAATGACATAGATCTCTTTTTATGTTTCTCACACGATCTTTCGCATATATATATATATATATATATATATGTGTGTGTGTGTGTGTGTGTGTGTGCGCGCGTGTGTGCACGCTCATAAAAACCAAATAAAGTTCACAGTTTTGGATGATTAAGTGCTTTTATTTGTTTTTTTCTTTGAATAAATAAATCATTGAATTTTCTCATTTTGAACGATTAAGTTTTTGAATATTTTTTTTGAATAAATAAACCATCATATAAATTAATTACCAGTATCATTTTAACCCATTTTGAATAATGTTTTAAAGTAAAAAAAAACTAAAATTAGTTTCACCATTCCAAACCCCTTTG